GTCCTAGGGGATGCGCATGCCGCGCAGGCGGCCGCGCCGCGGCGGCATGCGGGGGGGCGCCCTTACTCATACCGCCTCGTCCGGCACGAGGGTCGCCTGGTGATGGCCGGGCAGCGCGGGCAGGCACGCGGCGGGGCGGGCGCGGCGGGGGACGCGGCCGCCCGGTGACGCCCGTGGCCCTTCCCTCTTCCCACCTGCGGCGCAACTCACGGCGCCGGGTGCCCTCGCACAGCGCGGCCGCGCCTGTAAATGAAGACAAGCTAGGGTGTGTTGGGATTGGGGGCTTGGGCCAGGGCGTGTTGACAGGAAGGCCCGAGGCTCGCCCCCAAGGGGTGTCACTGGGCACCATGACCTGGCGCCAGCCTGGCGGCGGTTGGCCACATCTGCAGCCACTGTGGGGGGCCGGGGGCTGGCGGAGCTCGAATATAAAACGACAGGGGACTTTCAGGTGTGGCAGTTTCTGACAGATGGGGGGAATGCAGGGAGCCGTTGACATGGCGTCGCGCGGGGCGCGGCGGGAGGCGGGACAAGAAGCGACGGCGCAGGGGCGTCGCAAGGCGGCATGCGCACTGCGCAAGCACCAAATGCCCCGTTCTCGTTCGCAAGACGCCCCGGCACCACTCCTGTGAGGCCAGATAAGCATGAAAGCCTGTGACTGCTGGCGTCATCCTGGCCTTGGGACGTCTGAGCTCGACTCCCTGCGTCGCATCCAGCAAAGCTGCACAGCAGCGGTTCAATCTGCACTCTAAACCGCCCGGCCGACTTCCCGAGCCTGCACACCCCCTCTTCTACTCCCGTAGCCGAAACAACCACAGCACATTTTCATACGACTCAAAACGTGCTCCTCCTCCTCATCCATACACCCCGAGTCGAGCCACGATGTCCATGATGCTGCAGTCGACCCGCGCCCTCAGGTGACTGCGTTGGCTGTATATCGGGGTTTCGGAAGGGCTTTCGTAGACTGTATGACGCGGTCTGATGGCCATACGGCCGAACGCCCACGGGCGGTCACGTTCGGCCGCAGCTGGCTTGGCCTCTAGGCGAAGCCCCCCCCCCCAGCGGCCAGGGATAGCCAAGCCTCCCAGTTATCAGCTATTATTAAAGTGCATACAAACAGCGAGCGTCCGCAACCAAGCGGAGATTGAATCTCAGATCTGTTGAGCGATTACTAGTCGCCCAGCCTTCCTCTGGAGCCCCCGAGTCAGCAGCCGTCTCCTCGTCGTCCTCGTGCGGGCTGGCGCGGATCCCCCATGGCATCCACGCCTGCAGCCCGCCCGGCGTGCCGCCCCACCTGGAAAACATGCCATGGGGCATTGACCGTGGTGGCGCGGCACGCAGCGCGGGCGCGGCGCAGGCTGGGTCCCACCCATGCCTCTGATGCCAGCAGGATGTCCACGCCAGCCAGCTGCGGCAGCTGAGGGAGCACTTTGGCGGCTGCTGACCCAGGGGCGCCCCAGCAGGGGGCTGAGCTGGCGGTCGGCGCACAAGCAGATCTGAGATGCGGCGCACAGGCCAGGGTTTGGGCGCAGCCCAGCAGAGTGCAGCACAACCACAACCACGACGCAACTGGCGCGGCCTCGCCGAGCACCCCCTCATGCCAACCTCGGTCGCCTCCCGACTGCTGACGCCGCCGCGCCCCCCCGCCATACCTCCCCCCAGCGTCCGCGTGGAGGCGAAGAAGTCGGCCAAGTCCACCACCAAGAAGGCCGCCCCCAAGAAGTCTGCCGCCAAGGAGCTGTCCTGGTACGGCCCCGACAGGCCCACGTTCCTGGGCCCGTACAACGGCGCCACCCCCGCCTACCTCACCGGCGAGTTCCCCGGTGACTACGGCTGGGACACCGCCGGCCTGTCGGCCGACCCCGCGACCTTCGCCCGCTACAGGTGCGCAGAACACGCGCACATGTGCATGTGCTTGCGCGCACTTCGGTGCCTGTGCGAGCGCATGCCTCGCGGCCGCCCTGCTGTCCACGCTTCGCTGTTGCCGCCTCCCCTGAATGCGATGTGTCCAGCCCAGTGCAGCACGCAGCCGTCCCAGTGCACATGTGCATGCTGTTAACCGACACGCGTTTTCCCGCCACAACCGCCCGCCAGGGAGCTCGAGGTCATCCACGCCCGCTGGGCCATGCTCGGCGCTCTGGGCTGCGTGACCCCCGAGCTCCTGGCCAACAGCGGCACCCCCCTGCCCGCCGGCGGCGTGTGGTTCAAGGCTGGCGCCAGCATCTTCGGCTCCGACGGCCTCAACTACCTCGGCAACCCCAGCCTGATCCACGCCCAGTCGATCGGCGCCACCCTGGCCATCCAGGTGCGCATGCATGTGTGGTGTAATCGGCAGATGCACACGGACGCGGTCTGCGTAGGCGCTGCCGCCAACTGTTCCCGCGTCACGTGCCCCTGGGTTTGGTTTGAGCTTCTTTATGGTTGTTGCACAACTGATCACCACAGCCACTGCTCGTAGCGCAGCCGACCAAGCCCCTCACCCCTCCCCATGCAACCCGACTTGACGACCCTCAGCTGACGGCCGCGCAACAACCCACCTCACCGTATTCAAGGCGGGGGGTCAGCGACCCACCTGACTGTATATACCCCACTCCCAACATGCTGACTCGCCGCAGGTCATCCTCATGGGCCTGATCGAGGGCTACCGCGTGAACGGCGGCCCGGCCGGCGAGGACCTGGACCCCCTCTACCCCGGCGAGAGCTTCGACCCCCTGGGCCTGGCCGACGACCCCGACACCTTCGCTGAGCTCAAGGTCAAGGAGATCAAGAACGGCCGCCTGGCCATGTTCTCCATGCTCGGCTGTGAGTGGCTGGGACGCGTCCGCATGCACGCATGGATGCATGCATGCGTGCCGCATGCGCGTGCCTGCAAGCATGCCGCATACGCATGCGTGCGAGCTGCATGCAGGCGCATGCGGCGTCCGTGAGCTGTGCAGCAGCACGCGTGGGCATGCATGCGGCTTGCAAGCTGCATCCCCTGCTGCATGCGTCCATGTGTGACGCCTTGACCGCCGCATGCACGCGTTTCACGCTTGGCTGTGGCTCCCCTCGGGACTCCCATGCCCAGGAGTGAGATGACCACGACTCCCCTACACCGCCTCACACCAACCACACACCCTCTGCACACCCCACCCTCGCAGTCTTCGTGCAGGCCATCGTGACCAAGGAGGGCCCCATCGCCAACCTCAACACCCACCTGTCGGGCCCCGCCTCGAACAACATCTTCAACTCCGCCCCCGGCCTGGCCTAAATCTGCGGCCGCTGCTGCTGCGTGAAACTGTTTTGAGGGCCCCCCCCCTGCGCGCCCTGCTCTGCGCGGCTTGCGCCGCGTGCGCGCGGGGCGGCGTACCGCTCTGGTGTGTGGCCCCTGGGGGCTTCTGCTTGAGCAGGCATTGATGAGCATTTTGGGTCGCTGAGAGTGTGTGTAACTCGATCTGGATCTACCTTGCTGCTACCTGGAAAGACATGTGGACCAGCCGTGGGCTGAGTCAGAGGTCAGCAAGCTTCAACTTGGTCAGCAAAGACATGTGGACCAGCCGTGGGCTGAGTCGGAGGTCAGCAAGCTTAAACTTGGTCAGCGAGGCGCAAGTGCCATTGTTGGGTTGGGCACTTGCAGCAGTGCTAGCTCGCAGCCCTGAGCAGAGGATGGGACAATGCCAGACCCAGTGACAGTTTTGGTTGTCAATAGCCTAACCTACGGGAGCAGCAGAGTGGTGCCCTGCAGTGCACCACAACAGCATGCATGGAGATTGGCAGGGCCCCACGCTCACGGGCTACAGCAGCGCACGTGGCCACGCGGGTGTAGTGGATGCGCGCGTGAGCCACATGCGTACAGCTAAGCGGTGTCAGGAAGTCTGTCTGGCATGCGCAGCCTGACACCTCTCTACTGCATCCCCGCATCCCAACCTACACGCGTGTGTGCCGGCTCCGCAGTCCGCCCCGCATGCAGGCGAGGGGAAGTCGGCCCCCGCTCCTTGGATGCCACTCCCCTTGCCTCGTCTGCACCATGCCGGCATTGCAACATACGTTACTACCCACCGCAGCACCGCAAAGCCCATGGGTATCAACCTGTATTGACTGCAAGCACACGACACATTCAGCGGCAAACGGCAGCGCAAACGTGGAGGGAACGGCACAAAAAACAGCGAAGCGCTCGCGACGCTGGGGAGCAAGCAACGAACAGCCAAGAAGCCGAGGGGCATCTTCAAATGGGTGGCTTGTGTCCGCAGCGCTTTGCAGTTTCAGGGGAGGGGATGGCTGGAAACACGTTCGCAGGGGCACACAGTTCGTCGGTGGCCCCTGTGTGGGGTCGGCGGTGGGAGTGAGGGTTGCACACGGCCGACGGCAGGCCCCCGCAGCGCCTCAGGCCTACGCACTGCATAAAGCATGCGGCGCAGCTCCCCGCGCGCGCCGGGCGCCGCCGGCGGGAACGGCATGGCTTGGCGCGACGCGCGGGCCAGGGGCGACGCGCGCGCGCGCTGCCCTTTACGCTTGCTGCGACTGCCCTGTCAGCGCAGGCGCGCACGCCCATGACGGCGAAAGCCGCAACCACCGCAACTTTTTCACCTCGGCAGAGATGAGTAGGTGCGCACCGCTGCGCGCGGTGGTCGGGCGTGATATGCTTTGCCGTGACGCGTTTTTGGGATCAGCTGTTCGCCGCTGTGCGCCAAGGCCCAAGTGTGATTGAAAGCTGTGATGGAGCGGGGTGCATATGCTTGAGTAATTCGATGGGGCATCCAAGGAGGCGCGCTCGCGCCTCCTCCCCTTGTGGTTGGTTCCAGTCGTGGCGCGAGAAAAGCCGGCAGAAGCTCGCCGGCGCGGCCGCGGCCGCCGTCGCTTGGCGCAGAGGTATAAACGGATAGCGCGCGCTCTTCACATGTGCGCGGCGTGCGGGACCCTGCCCCACTCCCCCAGCCCGCCGCTCAGCCGGCGCCCGAGGGCGGGGTCTGGGGCCCAGCTGGCCCTCTGCACGGGGGCGAGCTTGGTGGGCTGCTCAGGCTGCGGCGTGGAATCGACGTTGGGCGGTAAGATAGGGGCGAGTGTGGGCAGCGGCGTCCGCGACAGCGCACGCGGCGGCGTAGCACGGTGCTGCGCCGCGCGGCGCCGCTTGGCAATGCTCATTGCTGAAAATTCAGGACCTCGCGATCTGGTGTAAACCCTCACAGCTTGTCGGAGGTGCCAAAGCCAGGCGCGCGCCCCTGCAGCGGCGAGGGCGCGGCGCGGCGCGGCGCCCCACCTGCCGCGCGCCCGGTCCAACGGGCGGCGCGCGATGCGGCCTGCCCATCGCGCGGCAGAGGCGGTGGGGCGGTGTGTTGCAAGGGCCCCAAGCCTTGCGGCGGTGCGTGGAGTGGACAACTTCGGGTCGGTGCCCCAGCAACAATGACCTGGCAGGTCGCATGACTCACAGACTGATGTGCAACGACAAATGCAAGGCCTGAGCAAAGCAGGCATGAGGCAAAACCGCACACACACGCACGCACGCACACAGGCACACACAAAAAGGATTCGAATCACAGTGACAGTGCCGCGGGAGAAGGGGCTGCAGGGGTGAGAAGGGGTGCGCGCCGGGGGAGGGGGGAGCGGAGCGCGTGCCCTTCTGCTTGCTAGGCAGGCCGCAACGGGCGCAGGTGTGTGTGCATGTGGGGTGTGGGCGCAGGAGAGGTGGCTGAGCGCTGGCTCCGGCGGGTGGCACGGGGAGCGTTGGGCCTCAAAACGGTTCTTCCATGGGACAAGGAGTGAGGGCGTCACAGGGTGAGTGACGAGCACCCTACCCCCCCAGCCTTGGAGAGTCGTGCCGCGGGCGACGCAGGCGGCCACAGGGCTTTTCGGCAGATGCAGAGCGCGACGAGCCGCGTCGACGCGCGACCGCAGGTGAGGGCAAAACTTTTCGATCGCACTTGAGCAACACGTAAGAGCGGCGCCGTTGGGCGGGCGCAAAAGAGGGGGCGTTTCGCCCCATTGCGCGCGCGTGGCGCAGCGCAACTGCGCTCTTGGGCATTCCAGCAGAAGCAAGCGGCCTGCGGCTGGCCCCTGTCTTTTGCATTTGTGTAGATCGTCCGAGGATTCGTATCCTCGGATCAACGCCTGCAAAACCCTGTCGCAGGATTTGAAATTTGGCACACCAAGCAAACTGGGCCAAAAACCGGGCGCGCGTGCTCAAGGCCGCATGCCAGCTGCATCAAGGCGCCGCAGGAGAAGCGTTTCCCTGCGCACGCGCGCCTGCATGTGTGCAGCAGAGTCCAGAGCGCTTGCAAAAGGCGGCGGTTGGCTGCAAACAAGTGTGTGTGCGTACGTGTATGTGTGTGTGGGCTGGGTGGGGTGGCGGCGCTGGACAGCGCGGGGGCCCCTATGCGAGCGGCGCCTGCCGCCGCTTGCGGCCTCGGGGCCGCGGCGCGGCTCGTGGCGCGCCGGCTGCGGCAGGCCGCCCACCGACTCCAAACCCTGCCGCCAGGCGGCGCCCTCATGAGGACAGCGGCAGTGATCAGTGCATAATCAGGTAAGTGAGTGGGTCTACTACGAGGGTGTGGAGCCGGCCTTGCAAACTGAAACCCGCGGCAGGACCAACTGTAGGGAAAAACATGAACGCTGAGGCACAAGAGTCAGGCGCAACTTGGGCCGTGGGCCACGCCGCGCCGCCTGAGCCGCGGCACTACTCCAGCACCGTCCACCCCGCCGGCGCCGCCTGCCGCAGCAGCGCCGCCGCCAGCGACGCCGCAGCCGCCGGCGCCATCGCCTCGGCGGCGGCGGCGCCGCCGCCACGGGCGCGTGTCGCATGGGACCGTGAGGCATTGGGGTCGGTGACAACTTTCACCCTGGCGCCGCCTGCTTTCAACAACTGCCCACAACCCAGCATGCTCACATCCGCGCCTGCGACCACTGGCAAACGCCGCGCCGCCGCCGCCGCCTCGGCGCGCAGCTCCGATAGCAGCTGCCCAGCAGCTGCGCCAGGCCGCGCGCGCAGCACGAGCTTCGACCTCGGGGCGCGCCCGGCGGCGGCGGCGGGCGCCGTCCCGCGGCCGCAGCCGCGGCCGCGGCGCTCTGTCAGGCGGGCGAGGAGAAAGGGCTGGCTGGCTGCGCCGTCAAAGGCCGCGGTGACCGCGGTCAGCAGGGGCCCCACCCAGGGGGACTCTGCGATTGCTTCGACCCCAGCCGAGGGCGGGCCGGCCGCTGCAACGGCGGCGGAGCTGAGCAGCTGCAGCCGCGGCGGCGGCGGGGACGGCGGCGGCGGTGCGGCGGCGGCGGCGCGCCGCGCGGCCGACAGC